AAATATAATGTTAGTAACACCCTTCTCTTCCAAATACTTTAATTATTCTTTCGTCTCTTTAACATAGGATTTATGTACTTAGGAGACCACTTACTCATTTAAAGCTTTCCATTATACCTCACCATGCTGAGACAATGAGGCCTGCTGTATTTTTCACCACCACCACCCCTCCCAGCTCTCTGCATCCTGCTCTTTCATTCCCATAGCCCTTACCACCTTCTAGCATTCTGTATTATTAAGTGATTTGTAAGTAATAGTTTGTCTTCCCCCACCAGCTGCTAATTCCTTGACAGGCAAGTCTTCAACTTACTGAGGATTCCAAGTATGCAGTAAATGTCTGATAGGTAAATGGACAAAGTCTGGGTCCATTCCTCATTGCTTCTTATACCACTTTAAATTTTACTACAGCAATCTTTCATAACATTCCTTCCTCATCTCTGAATGCTCTTTTATTTCACTTTAATCTCTTGTCCTATCGCATTGTTCACTATTCATTTGTTTCCCTGAATTCACATCTTTTTCAAATACAATGCCAATCAAAACAAATGCCAAATTTACTTGCTTTTCCTACAGGAATTCTTTACAAATATAAGACTTTTCTTAAGCATATAATTTTTTATGAAGGATAGTTTTGCATTAGCACTGTTTAATTCTTCCATATCTGTTTCTGACCCTAGCAGTTGCTCAAAAAGAGTGTAAATCCTGCCTAGGTCTTCCCTTTACACCAGCATATGCTGAAAACTATCTTTATATCTTCAGTTAAGGGGTCAAGTAGAAGTTTTATTCCTTCATCTGTGCTTCAGAAGCCTGAGAGGGGAAAGAAAGAGGGTGAACATTTGGGTCATGGATATTCTCGTATGGAATCTCCACGTGTATTTGTTAAAGATGACCATCTCTCAAAAAACTAGGATTAGAGGTCTCATTGGACAAAGCTATTCCCCTGCTGGGTATCTTCCCAAAAGAATTAAAAGAATCATACCACAGTGATATATGTGCACTCATGTTTATAGCAGAAGTTTGTAATAGCTGAAACTTGGAAACAGCCCACTTGCCCATCAACTGGTAACTGGATAAAGAAGATGTGGTGTTTTTATAAAATGGAGTACTTCTCAGCCATAAAAAATAAGAAACTAGGGTCATTTATAGCTAAATGGATGCACACTGAAGCCATACTCTTAAGTGAAATAAATAGGACACACGTGTAAATACCCAATAGTTTTTCTGGTGTGAAAAACTGGAAGTGTGAATAAGGATCAAAATGTACAATAGACAATGTGAAATAGGAAGATAAGGCCCAAGGGTTAAGAGGAAGTGGAAGGGGTAGAGGAAGGGAAAGGAATAAATAGGAGAAAAGGAAAAAATGGAAACAAAGTCTAATAGGGAAGGGGGGAGGGGCTGAAGGGAGGGTAGGGGAATACAGAAAAAAAAAGAACCAAGATAAATCATGTAAAGGTACAAATTCCCAAAGATGAATGTCATCATATTATATACCTAAAATGTACCAATAAACTTAATGAATTAAAAAAAAAGATGACCTTGGTTAAGACTCAAAAACCACAAGTCCTTTGGAAAGATGTCCAAACAGGTAAGTGGAATGGCCCTGCTGCCTTAATAACTTGGGGGAGAGGTTTTGCCTGTGTCCTAACAGATAATGAGAAAACCTTGTGGCTGCCTTCCCGGAACGTGAGACCGTGGGTCACGCTGGTGGAACCGCCAACATCTCACAAAATGAGTGACAGCACCGTGGCTGAAAGCAATGAGCCAGCTGCACCTCAGGGACCCACCTCACCAGCGACAACCAACAAATCCATAGCAGGGTCCAAGACTGAGATGATGCCCCCAGAGGAATGATAATTATAGATTTATGGTAAAAAATTTATAAAGGTGGGGGACAACTTCAAAATGCTC